CGAGCCTGTCGCATAGGGCTTGCCTAGTGCGGTTTACATCCCCGTGTGGTTTGCAGGCTATTACATGGGGTTTACCCAGTGCGCACAAAGTGCTCACCCGAAGGGCAGAGGCTATGACAGAGGTTGTAGCGGCTGCGGGTTATCTTGGGGTTCCAAAAAATAAAATAAAATAGTGTGGTATTGATTTCATGATTTAATTGTGTTGGATTTTAAATGTGTCAATAGGAAATGAAGGGTTGTGACTTTGCCGAAGGGTTGTGACCTTTATGAAAGGTTGTGTCTTTTCTAAAGGGTTCGTAAGGACACGTAGAGAGTTCTGTGGACTTGGATAATTTTTTCTTTTTTTTTTTCATCTTTTATATTTCCAATTTGTTAATCTGAATACAAGAGAATGAGAGATAACAAATTGAACTCTAGCAAAGCACGACCACTACAAGGGGTTATATTTTGTATATCTCACTGTAACTAAATGAATTAATCACCAGAGATTATCACGACTAAAAAGGCACCTGAAATTAATCATGAATCGTTCAAATTTAATAGACTATATAGTTGCCTTCTTCGCATAATATACACTTATGTGAAGCGTTAAATCATGCTAGCTAATACTGTTACACAAAAAAAGAAATTGAGTTGTTACACTCATTTCTTTTGATTTTGTTTTTCAATCAAATTAGTGTTGTAACTTTTGTTCTCTATTACTAACCATGGTTAATTTGAAGACGAAGATTATTTCATTAGCGTTACACTTAGGGGTCGTTTGATTAGAGTGTACAAGAATAATATTAAATATGGTGTATTGAAATGTTGTCATTAGTTACGTTGTACTTAAGATTATTTATTATGCAGTGTTTGATTTGATGTATTAAAATAATATATATTCTAAATATAAATTTATTTATAAAATATACCCTCCACAAATATAGTGAAAAATTATGGTTTTTTTTAAAGACAGTTGTGTTTTTAACTAAACTAATGCATGCATTAAAACCTCTTATGATTAGTTTCTCGGAATAAACTATACCATTGTGCCATGCGGCCTGGAGCAATGTCCATTTCATTTCTATGACGTCTTGTACTGTTGACTTCAGAAGTTCTCAAATATTAAATATTTACAATTAAATTGAATGGCGAAGGTGACCAATATGACTCATCGTCCAATGAAAAATTGTAGTTCTAAGAGCAATACTCAATTTCAGTTTCAATTGAGTATTGTTTTTTTTTTTGAAAATTTTAAGTTTATTTATATGAATTTTTCGTTAGATCTAAGAGCATCACTATATATGAAAATTAACAAAATTGTCGCATTTAAAAAAATATGTTTTGGGATTTGTCCAAGTACGGATGAACTTCACTTAAAATTTAAATAAATTATTGCAGTTCATAAGCTAATGCACATTTTTTGTTATAATTTTTTTTAGGGTCCGTTCGTAATGGGGTGAACTCCAATCTTCTTCCTTTAGAAAAATATTATAGTTCGTTCAGTTACGAGCAAATTTAATATTTAAAAAAAATAAAATTGAACCAACTAAGACAAAGCCGAATGCCTACATTTTTTTATGAGCATTTTTACCTATCGAAAATAATCACATCCATCATTTTCCTGAAATAACAAAACACGAAAACAAGTGAATATCCAAATATTTTGAAGTGAACAACTTTTTTTTTTTTACCTTTGAACGCACACAACTATAAAACTTACGACCGAAGTTTTCATTATACAGTATTCTTTGCATTTACAAACATCTGGTTCAATTGAATGTGTAGACTTTTCGAATTGTTGCGACGTGACTATCAAATTTCAAAAATCAAAGTATGAAGTATGAAAAAGTAGAAGATGGATGAGAGAATGTGGAGTAAATAATCCATATTTATTGTTGAAGAAAGAGATATAATTTCGCGTGAAGAAGAAAGAGATATAAATATACGTGACGAGTTAATAAAAACAATTGTTGTTTGCTTATTTTTGAGCTAACTACCTTTAAAGTTTGTGTAATACTGTTAAAAGGGATGACAATGTTAAAAAAGAGAAAAGACATAAAGTGACACCTGAACTTGTCTCGAATTTTCAAAAAGACACATGAACTATGCGGGCGTCCTACTACCCCGTTAAACAATCTTAAACTGATATTATTACATCATTTTTTGTCCACCTTACATAGAGAGTGTGTGCATTCTCTCAAAAGAGAGTAAACAACCTAAAATTACTAATATAATTTTATTATACATATATTTTCTTATTATTTTACTAACTTTTTTTCCTTATTATTTTTCTTTTTTCTTTCTTCTTTCTTCTTCAAAAATTCATTGTCATCTCCATTGAAGTTTCTCACTTTCAATGTCACCATTTTTATCATAATTTCACCATCCTTTTTTTTACTACTATTAGTTTTACTTTCTTTAATTTTAAAACTTTATCTAAATATTTTCTTACATTTCGAACAATTTGATAAATCCATTAGATTTCAAGATGATTAGGAGGTATCATATAGTTTCTTTTATCCGATTTCAATCAAGTTCTTTCAATTTTTGGGGGAATTTATTGATTCTTTTTAAATTATTATTTCTAATTTTGAAGTTATATGAAAAGGAGTAATTCATAATACCTTCAAAATTTTAAATTTTCTTAGAAAAATAATTAATTTTGTTATCAATAATTCAATAAAGTCTAGAAAATAGTATGATTTTTTTAAAATAAAAAAATCATTGAAATAAATAATTTGATTGGAGAAGAATAAGATAAAAAAAAGAAAAAAAGGGAGAAGAGTTCAACTTGACGTGGGGGGTGGGGTGAGGGTGGGAGGTGAAAAAAAAGAAAGAAAATAAAATTAAAATTAAAATAAGTCAACAATTAAGAGAATAAGTCAAAAATTAAGAGAGATAAAAAAAAACTTAAAATGATTTTTTTTTATATTTTTAATTGAATTAACACGTGCCATGTAATGATTGGTGTGTGAACACACTTGCATCTTAAAATCTGGAACTGATCGAAAAATAATATAATAATATCAGTTTATAATTGTTTAGTGGGGTAATATGATGGTTGTAGAGTTAAAATGTCTTTTGGAAAATTCGAAACAACTTCAATGGTGACTTTATGCCTTTTCTAGTTAAAATGGTAATTATAGTTCACCCATAAATGAGCGAACTTTCTATTTTGGTGTGTATTTTTAAAGAGTTTCCCTTTTAATATTTAGGGTTCAAAAAGTATCCGTTTTAATGTCAGACTCTAAAAATGAATGTCTAATAACCACTTATTTTCTTGTTTTCCTCTTTCGATAAATTTAGCCACTATATTGGCTTTATTTTTTAAAAAATGGGTCCACAATGAAAAAGGAGGGAAGCAAATGATAGAAAGCAGACGGATGTTCCAAAGAATATCATGATTATTGATTAGTATTATTTTTTATGTTTTACAATATTTTAATGAATATGTAAAGAGAAGATTTGGAGGATGTTTCTTAGCGACTTCACGAACCAACTACCAAGTGACCATTAGTTGATTTCAAGATAATTTATTAGGGGGTGAATAAAGACTAAATTCAGGTGGGTCTACCATTTTTTTTATTTTTTATATAGACTAGTGAAAGCACCTGCCATTATTCTATGACAGTAAAGATAAAAGAGTGAGGCAAATACAATAATCTTAAATATTAAAATAATTATCACATCTCAATCTGGCCAATAAACAACCCGCACTCGCTATAATATATAGCCTAAAAAGAATAACAATCAATCAACCAAAAGGATTTGTTAAAGTTAATTGGCCATTTACAAGATATGGATATATCACTAATCACGTAAGGCCATTATTAGATAAGCATTTCCAGGGCCCTAGCCCCTTATTCATTGTGTTATCTTAATTCTAAAGTTATCTGCAACCGAGATTACACGGATCACCTATATACTCAAAGATATTGGTGTCACACTTACCACAACTCCAATACTATTATGTGATAATCTTAGTGCACTTTACATAGCTGTGAATCTAGTATTGCATGTCAGGACTAAACATGTAGAGATAGACTATCATTTTGTTAGAGAAAAGGTGGTAGGGGGACAACTCATAACACATTTTGTTCGATCACAAGATCAGCTAACTGGCATACACACCTAGGCACTTACAAAGCAACAATTTGCAACCTTTCGAAGCAAGCTAGGAGTGGTTAATCCACCTCTCACTAGCTTGAGCGAAAGTGTTGTTGGAGACTAGCGTAAGGAGTAGAATTGTGTTAGCATTAGGAGAGTACTGTATGTATTGCATTAGGAGTGTAAGTGTTGTTATGTACTACTAGTTAGAGTTAACTTGCAAAGTAAAATTCATGAAGAACTCTCCTATACTGAGCCGTTCTTTTCCTATATGTACTGTGTTTTCTGCAATGTTGAAGTGTGTAACCATTTATCTAAAAGCTATTTATAGAGAGAGCACACTCTTATTAGTTAATGATATTTTCAACACACCTTCTCACGTGTGAGCTTGATTTTTTCATGGGCCAAACAAGTGAATTTTTTTTAAAATTTGGATGACAATGATATTCGAACCCAGAACCTTTGATTGCTTTGATACCATGTAAATATTAGGTTCTTTAGGAAATTAGGTTGTTTGGTGAAAAGAATCTTTTAACTCACCCAATCATATGGATGATAAGTTGGCAAAGGATGAAAAATTATTTTCTGATTATAGAGGAAAAAAATCACATATCATTAGGCTTCATAAAAATCGATTTATCAACTAATGTAAGTTCTATTTGATTTAAATCCAAAATCAAACCACAAAAATTCTTGTTGTCAATGAATGGCAGTCATTTCGTTTTTCTTGTGCACGTGATAGAAAAACATGAAAAAATGGCTTTTACCACTAGTCCACTTGCCTAGTGAGAAACTTCAAAGAAGCCTCAAATTCTAAATAAATTAATGGGACCCTTTTTCAGGTGCATGTACCTTGTTGCTCCTCTATTTGTCACTACATATACCCCAATTCCTTCTACTCTTCCAAAATTCACAAATCTTTTCTCTTTACCTTACACATACAAAACCTTCAAAAACTCATAATGTATCAATTACCCATTTCTACAGAGTTACCTCCGACTTTTTTTCCGGCAGAATTCCCGGTGTATTGCCGGAGTTCAAGTTTCAGTAGTCTCATGCCATGTTTAACCGAATCATGGGGTGACTTGCCGTTAAAAGTTAACGATTCCGAAGATATGGTAATTTATGGGCTTCTACAAGACGCCTTCAGTATCGGATGGACGCCGTCAAATTTAACGTCCTCGGAAGTGAAACCAGAGCCGAGGGAGGAGATTGAGCCAGTTATGAGTACTTCTGTTTCTCCGCCGACAGAGACTGCGGCGGCTCCAGCGGCTCTGCAGCCTAAAGGAAGGCATTACAGGGGAGTTAGACAAAGGCCATGGGGAAAATTTGCGGCGGAAATAAGAGATCCGGCTAAAAACGGCGCACGGGTTTGGCTTGGAACTTACGAGTCGGCTGAGGAAGCCGCGCTCGCTTATGATAAAGCAGCTTTTAGGATGCGCGGTACTAAGGCTCTATTGAATTTCCCGCATAGAATCGGTTTAAATGAGCCGGAGCCGGTTAGAGTGACGGTTAAGAGACGATTACCTGAACCGGCTAGTTCGTCGGTATCATCAGCTTCGGAAAGTGGCTCGCCAAAGAGAAGGAGAAAAGGTGTAGCGGCAAAGCAAGCCGAATTAGAAGTTCAGAGCCGGGGACCAAATGTTATTCAAGTTGGTTGCCAAATGGAACAATTTCCAGTTGGCGAGCAGCTATTGGTTAATTAAAATATGGAGCTAAGAACTCAACGGCAAGGGCTTGTTTGGCTTTGAAGTGGACAGAAAATAGCAAATCATTCCAATTGGTGAGAAGTGGACCAAGGAGGCCATTTGGATTATGTGTATCTAACGTGTAAAGTGCACTTTTTAGTTTGTGCTTTAATGAAAAAAAAAGTGGCTTTTGATTTTATTGAATGAATAATATTCTCTTTATCCCTATAATTGAGTTAGGTCGAAAATAATGAAGTTAGTTAGCACTATACAATAACAAATAATGAAGTAATTAGACAAATGTTGCTTTGCAAACAAGGGAAAAATAATTTTCTTTTGAGGAGTGTTGGATAATGCCAATGTTCTACTTATGACAAGGTCTACGAAGGGTGGGGTGGTTCGGGTCAGAGTCGGGATCAAACATGACGCTTGTTTGGTGGATTTAGGTACGTAATAAAGTTGCGCCTATGCTACTAGCTATAACTTTTGACATGATGGTAAGCACTTGATCCTAGTAAGTGTATCCGAGTCATGATCGTGGGTTTGATTTCCAAGAACAAGAGGCAAACCCATCTCTAAGCTAAACTTAAAATTAAATAAAATCTCGAAGCTAAACTTAAAATAAAAATAATGAAGTGCTTACCATCAGCTATAACTCTTAACATGATGGTAAGCAGTTGATCCTAACAAGTAACAAGTGGTATCAAAGTCAAGATCGTGGGTTTGATTCCCAAGAGCCAGAGGCGAACCATGTCTAAGCTAAACTTAAAATAAAAATAATGAAATAGGTCTCTGTCTAGCTGTATTCGAACCCTAGTGTTGCAGGTAGTTCCTCTAGCTTGTACCAGCGACACAAAAACACTACAATGCTTCCCATGGGTGTACTGTTAATTATCTCCTAGTTTGTATCAGTTTCTCAAGATATATATATATATATATACACATGTTTTTTTCCTGAAGTTATTGGGTGCACATGTACCCCCATCGATACATGTGGGTCTGCCTCTGCCAAGAACAACATTTTGCATAGGGCAAGTATTGGGAAGGGCATTGTTGGGTAATGCCAATATCATGTCTACGGCAAGGTCCACGAGGAGCTGGGTGGCCATGTCGGAGTCATGATCGAACATGACACTTGCGTGGGTCGTGGTGAACTTAGTTAAGAAATAATATTGTATCTTTACTATCAACTATAACTATAACTTTTGACATGATGATAAGTGTTTGATACTAATATGGAGAATATACCTTCAATAAGGAACAGTTCATAAAATTACAAAAAGGACAAAAGAAAAACAATTGGCATAGTTAGATGTGTACATATTTAGCATAGTTAGATGTGTGTATATTTCCTTCCACATGTATTTTGTTTTCTGTCACATTGAACCCCATGAATTTGCAAGGACTTTCTTCACTCTCTCACCTGAATATTCTCAAAAATTATTGATAAGTTAAGGAAAATTATTCTCTCATCTGCCCCACTCCATGGCTCCCATCCATAAAACAAATGTGTGTACGTTTAAAACTATTTAAATTTGTTAAGTAAATTTTCTTTAACTATTCAAATTAGAAAATAATAACAATTATTGAGCATTTAAAGACCTAATAGGCCTTCTTAACTATAGTTTGCCAATTTACGTATCATAGCTATAGGTTAAATAGCTATTGCCTCTCAAAATTTGAAAAATCTCTTAATGTGTTTTTAAGCGTGGAGTAGTCAGATGATTAAATACTTCAATATATCATCTCTTTTATAAAACACATTACATCATTTTAATTTCAATAAGCCGTAAAACTTTAGACATATCATTTCAATTAATATTGATCATGAATACAATTGAGGGGAAACTACACAAAATACTCATCGAGACCTATTTAATTACTTGTTTTTACTCGAATGGGATTTGAATATAGTTGCTACCCATTCCTTAGCATCTGATTTGCTTCAGAATATACTAGGTTATGTGCCAATTGCTTTTTGACGTTTTCCCAGTACATTTTCTTTTGATTTTTCCTTTTAATTCCTTTTTCTTCTTTTGTTTTGTTCCTTTCTCTTCTTTTGTCTCTCTCTCTCTCTCTCTTTTCATTTTAAAAGTAAAATTAAAATTTTAGCGAACTATTTTTAGATTTAATAAAAATATAAGAAAATCAAATAGTTACACTACAACAAAAAGTAATTAAAAATAAATAAATTCTAAAATACACTAAATTATTTAAAATATAAATTAATAGAAAACATATTCTTATAACAATTTTTTTTTTGCAAATGAAAACAAAAATTATATCTAAAATACAACTCTATCTTTTGTATCTTTTTTACAATAAAAATTAGGATATAAAATTAAATGTCAAAATTATCATATATAATTATGTAGCACAAAAATGTATATACATTTATACATAATATTTACACAATATTTATACATTATAGGAGTTCATCTTCCTCAACGAGATGATTTTGTCATTTTAATCCAAATCATCTCAAACCTCTTATAAATAGTTCTAAATTTTTGGATATAAGCTTCTCTAGATATTTTTGAGTAGTTTGATATATAATTCACTTGAAACGTTTCACATTTGCGACATGTAGAGTTTTAGTTCTCGACATAACCCACAATCTTAATGATACAGATCTTGATACTTGAGGAACTCAAGCCAAATAAAGCATTTAGGAATCCTTCAGCTTGTTCCTCTACTTCTTCCTCTAAGGTCTAGGTACCGATAAGGATAAGGATATAGAGTCCTAGTACGTTAGTATGTTTGAGTCATATACGTAGTTATTTCTCTTCTCTTTAGGTCTCTCACGTTCAATAGACTTCTTTATCTTCTATACTTGTTCATGTATAAATACCACACATTGTATCAATAATACGAAACGCTTTCATAATAATATACAACTCTTATATGGTATCAAGAGCCTCCTAAACACTCTGATATCCGATCGTCTTCTTTTTTTCCAGATTCAAACTCCTTTTTTTTTTCTCTCCAGAATGCCTGCTACTTCCTCCTCTCCTAACTCTCCAGCAGTCTCTCTCAATCAAGGGGGTGTCGTTCAGCCATCTCAATTGATCTCTTTTAACCATGCGTCTCAGCTATCCTTCAAGCTAACAGGAAGTGCAAATTATCCAACTTGGAAATCCCAAGTTACCACTCTATTGTTTGGCTATGATCTTCTTACTTTTGTTGATGGTTCACTTCCCATCCCAACTGCGCACATTATGGACAAAGACAATACCCAAATCCCTAACCCCAACTTGAGATTGTGGCAGCGACAAGACAGTCTTGTTCGCAATGCCATTATGGCATCCGTTGACGCTACAATCGCTCCCCTCATTGCCCATGCATCCACTGCCAAAGAAGCTTGGGATATTCTCCAAACAACTTATGCGAGCAAATCGCACTCAAGAATTTTCAGTTTGCGCGATACTCTGGCGAATGTCAAACGAGACGCACGTTCAATCAGTGATTATATGAGAGAAATCAAGTCCATTGCAGATGATTTGGCCTGCAGTGGTTCACCCGTTAACGGCGAGGAACTTCTCATTAAGGTCTTGAGTGGTCTAGGTCCTGAGTACAAGGAGTTATCTGCAGCAATAAGAGCTCGTGATAATCCTATCACATTCGAAGAACTTTTTGATAAACTCCTTGCACAAGAGATGTTCATCAAACACTCAGAACCTAAGGTCGACACACCTATGATCACTACTCAATTTCATCAGCATTCCACCAATAATGGTCCCAAAAATAGACAGCCTAACTCTTCCAATCGTAGGAACACTCCTCCATCAGGTTCCTACAACTCTCGTAATCAATTCTCTGCCCCAAATAACAATTCATTCACCCAACAGAATACCACCAAAAGCAACAATCAACGAGTCCAATGTCAACTTTGTGATAAGTTTGGTCACATTGCAAAGGTATGTAGGTCCAAATCACACAGTGCTACTGAAGCATATGCTAATTTCGTCAACCGTCAGTCTTATGCTTCCAATTCTCCAAGCCCTTGGGTTGTGGATTCCGGAGCGTCGCATCATATTACAAACAACTCTCACTCTCTTCAGACTCCAACTGAGTTCTCTGGAACAGATGCGATAATTGTTGGTGATGGTAAAAGAATTCCTATCACTCATATTGGTCACACTACTTTAACTTCTCCTAATCTTGTTGCCAACTTTCTTTTAAAAAATGTTCTTTGTTCTCCATTTATAAAAAAAAAGTTGATTTCGGTTGCTCAATTTTGTAGGCAAAATCTAACTTCCATTGAATTTTTTCCTTTTTCTTTTGTTGTGAAGGATTTGAGCACGGGGGCATGTCTTCTTCAAGGCAAGAGTAATGGTGATCTTTATGAGTGGCCTACGGACATGACCAAATCAGTCACACCTCGTCCTCAAGCACATTTTGTTGCATCAACAACTCCATCATTGCATCTATGGCATGCTCGTCTTGGCCATCCTCAACCTCGTATTACCAAAGCTTGTGTCTCTTCTTTCAACCTACCAGTGAACCATGCCGAGTCTTTTACATTTTGTAATTCCTGTTTATGCAATAAGAGTCATCGTCTACCATTTGGTCGCAATTCAATTACAAGTTCTAGGCCTTTTGATGTTGTTTACTCAGATGTTTGGGGTCCCTCTCCAACTATCTCTTTTGATAATTTTAGATTCTATGTTATTTTTGTTGACCATTTCACGAAATATACTTGGTTGTTTCCTCTCAAATCCAAATCAGACGTTAAGGGCATTTTCATTAATTATGTTCAAATGGTTCAAAACCAATTTCAATTGAGAATTAAAACGTTATACACTGACGGGGGAGGTGAATACATTGGTCTTAAATCAACTCTCTTGAATTTTGGGATCCAGCATCTTATAAGTCCTCCATACACTCCCCAACTAGTTGGCACTGCCGAAAGAAAACATCGTCACGTTGTGGACACCGCTTTAACTCTTCTTCACCATGCTTCTGTCCCTTTTAAATTTTGGTCTCTCGCATTCCAATCTGCAGTCTACCTCATTAACAGGCTGCCAACTCCACTTCTTGGTCTTAAATCTCCATTTCAGTGTCTCTTTAACACTACCCCAAACCCTCTTAAA